GCTTGCGCAAATTTGAACTTTGCGCACGGAAACTCTTTGCGCACTCATTTTTGTTACGCATAGTTACCTTATACTCGATTTTTCAATGTTTTGTGAGTTTGTGAGTTTCTGGATAACTTATATTCAGAAAGAAGGGCCTGATGTTATTTTTGTTCCAAGAAAGGCATTAAGGTGATGTTTAGCTTTTTTAATTTGACACTTTCCGTCTGAGGAGCGAGGGGAGGAAAAATCCAACAAAAACAGATGTGAGGTCATGTGACCATTGGCATGGGGAGCCACCAACTCACATTCCTTTGGAGTATCAGATTATAAAAGTTGGACTGTAAGGTATACTTCTCCATATCAAAATTTTGGCAAGAAAAACAAAATTAATGACTTGTTCAAATTTAAAGTAAACCTCGCTAGCACAACCAATGCTGTGCAAATAAAGTCAAGCTGATCACTGAAAAAAAAAATTGAAAACACAACACATTGAACTAAGAGAGAAATTTACCAATTTTGAGCATCTGGAAACATTTAGGAAGATTAAGTACAGCTCCTCTGGATGCAAATCTTCAAACACTCGTAGAAAAAGTATTGTTCCTAACACTTGCGCAAAGTGATACTTTCCCGAACGAAAAAGCAGTTAGACGAACGACGCGAAGCGGAGTTCGGATAAGCTTTGAGGAAAATACCTATTTTCAAACCTAGAGAGAAAAAGATCAGTTAATATTAATCGGCGACAATCGATGGGTAAGGTACCCCGATTGGAAAAGGCACCTACAGGAGAAAGCGGGGAGCGTAAAAGTAAAATAATGAAATTGTGTGTTCACAAATATTTAACTGATAATTTATAGAAACCGCAGGGAACCATAAGTCAGGCTGAACGGAGCAGCCCTTCTGCTGACGGGGGTAGTCAGCTTGATAAGGTGTCATCAAATCAAGTAAGTAAATTAGTGAAGCATAGCAAACATACAACAACAACTATAAATATAAATATTTTCAAACAGAATAAAGACCCTACCATAGACTACTCTTGGCATGAAGACCCTCCAATGTTGAGCTATAATCCACAAACATGTATTAGCAAACAAAATTATCCATTGCCCCCCGCCGAAATTAAGCGAAAAAGCGAAAAAGAAGTTTAGACAAGAACTTAATTTATTGTTTCATTAGGTTTTTATAAAAAATCAAAACAATATTTTTCGAAGATCACAAAGCACAATTCTTGAGTGGATTTTAAAAGATACTGGCTTATTACGGATTTTAATGAAGTTGGTTGTTTTTGTAACTCATTGGTAACCCAAGCAGCAATTTAACGTTGCGGCGACGTGTTTGAAATAGTTGCGCAACCAAACAGAAGTTGCGTAAACGACCTTGTTACAACGTTGTCACAACCTTGTTTTGCACCAATTTGGTCAATCATTTCCAGGTTTTTGAAACGTTTCAGTTTCAACTGTAGGTAGCAGTTGGTTGTTTCCTAAACGTTGCTAAATTTACTTATAAACAACTACACACCTGCGCCCTCTCTCATGGCGATGCGAGTTTACTTTTTATTGTGTTTAGGAAATGGTAAATTTTTCAACCAAATATTCACTGATGGTCAAAATGGTCACTTTCTTTAAACTTACTACTGTATCTTAATGTGTTATTCTTATGCTTCAAATACTTTATTTATATTGCCGAAAAAAGACGATATACAAACAGAAATCAGCAACGCATATCACTTTACTGATAGATGTACTATGGATTTATGCCAAAAAACACGCGCGCCTCCAATCCGTTGCAAATTTCTCAAAACTCAAAAATAAAAATAAAAATTGAAAAACAAAAAAAATAGATAACCAATATTTGAAGTTGATACCGCTTCAAACGCGAGCTAAATGGAGGCATATGATTGGTTCCTAGAAAACTAAAAAAAGCTATACAATCCTTTATTTACACCTCTTAATGCACCAAATGTCAATGGCCGGGACCATGTTTCCAAACAGAATACACTTTCAACATGGCGTAGGAGTATAATAGGCGTCAACGCTACTTTAGATATCAGATAACTAATAAATTTACTAACTTTTAACGTTAGTCTGCCAGAAAACTAACTTTTTCCCGAGGCGAGAATGGAGTTGCTTATCGGACCAAAAACTAAACTGAGTTTAACTTACGAACACTCCAAAATACACAATTTTCAATCACGCCTACGTGCCTCTCCGTGCAGTTCAGTTGCCGTATTATTATTATTTCTTTCTCTAGTCTAGTCTACATTGATCTCTTCTTCATTATTGAGTTATTTCCTTGGTTGGAACGAATTATTTATCCTGCATCAACTATTCGTTCTCTGGAAAATTAGTTGCTTCCCCTACTAATATTACTTCTTCATTCAGATGCGCCCTCGGGTTGGCATTTGTTCCTAAAAAATTTAAACGTAAGTTCTCGGATCTGTCTGCCTTCATGTAGGCTTGTGCCCCTGAATTTTCTTCATGACATAATTTTTTTTTGTCAATATGAGGCAGTTTATCTGAAGGCTCAAGGCTTGTTTCATTTTTAATTTGATGGTCTGATGGTCGAACGACTTTTTTATTTTGAGGTTAGTTGAAAAGGTGACTCCGCGGAAACGTTTTCAGGTTAACTGAAAAACATTCCTACTGCTTATTTAAATCTCACAAGGTCGGATCTCCGTCGAGAAAACGTTTAACATAACTTAAGTTGTTACCTGAACGTTGTCAGAACGTTATTCCCATTCCCAAAATATTAACTTATTGTAGTCGGTTGCGTAAACGTAGTCACAACGTCGTAGTTTAACTAGAGTCCTGCGCAACACTAAGACGACGTTGTCCAGTGGTTTAGAGAGCGTCGTTTCTTAAATGCCTAAACTCTACACTAAGTACAACGTTAATTTTAGTGTATTATGTGGTTATCGTCGTTAAAATGCTACTTGGGAACTTTTCCAATGCATCTAAAAGTTCAAACAATACGGTGTCATCAGATCAACTAAATTAGTCGAGCATATCAGACATAATAAACATATATTCAAACAAAAAAAACCCTACCATCGACGATTCTTGAGATAAGGACTTGTAGATAGCAATAACCCAGAAGCAGATGTTGTATCCAACCCATAATCCGTTGTCTCCCGCCAAAAATGAGCAGATGAGCAAAAAAAATTCCAATTTGTATAATTTAAAAAAAAAAATGATAACTTGAATTGATGAATGATAAATCAAACCATATTTTCCGAAGATGAATCAATAAATTAGCAAGGCTTTTCACCACCGGCCCAACTCCAAAATTCATGAATACAAATGCAGGAATTATTTAGGTATTCTTTACTTTTCAAAAAAGTGAAGGGATATGGTACCTCTTCAGAGTAGAAGCTTTTCAACGTAGTAGAGGTGGGTATTGGTTTGATAGCTGAAGGCTCTCGAGCGTGGGAACTTTTTCGATACCGTGAGAAAATCGGCGCCTTTGATCTGAAATTTTGGGAATTTGACCCGGGTCAACCGTGGGAACTTTTTCGATACCGTGGGAAAATCGGCGCCTTTGATCTGAAATTTTGGGAATTTGACCCCAAAATTTGTGAATCTGGTGAACCATTTACGTAGAAGAGGTGGGTATTTGGGGGCACTTGAGTTAAAAAAGTGCTCAGGAGCTTCATGGAAAGGGGTTTACAGTGGAGGTGGGTAGTGGTATGATGACTGTGCTGGAGGAAGGTTTTACGTGGTAGAGGTGGGTATAGCTGTGAAAACACTCTACTCAAGTTGTTCCTCACGATCCATTAGGCCCAATATTCGCTTCACATTAGCCAAGCATAATTTGCTGTAGAATGGAAAAGCTCGTTTTGAAAGAACTATGGCTCCAATTTCAGTTGGGCCAGTAATGTCCCCACAAGTTTGGCATGTTACCTTTTTGCAGTGGTCGCAGGGATAGCGAAAAGAGTTCGTTTTTCGATTTATTGGGTTCTTTAAAACTGACTGCTGCATAACAGGTGCTGCATGAACCTGACATATTAGGTTATTCCACAATTTTTGCAATCTCTTGACTTTATCGCGATTTTTTTTATTCACAAACGGACACAAGCACTCAGACAACACACTGACGTGATATTTGCATTTGATTTTGCAGAAGATAATGAAAAGAGAAAACTTTTAAAATTTTACTTGCTGTTTGTAAACAAAACCTAACCTAATTCTGAATTAGGCGATTCGAATCAGCTGATAATTCAAGATGGCGATGCGGCGCGAATGTAAATAAACTGTTGAGGTTAAACATTGCCTCCATATAAATGTATGTTATTTCTACCTGTTTCAGAGTTTAATTTGATGAATTTTACTTTATTTCAATTTCCTTTAATGTACGTAGTTAAAACCGAGTTATTTGGAATATTTATCTAATACCAATAAAATACCTGGACATCAGGTACAAAACGGACCCCAAGAAGCTGTGCAAATGAATGTCAAAAACATAAATTACATGAACCACAACAACGCCAAAAATTAAAAAAATTATCAAGAAACCTTCTCAAACTGATAAAACACTTTAGAAATTCACAGAAAATACACAGTCTCTTATGGACCTCTACGTGTTTATTCTCATCAAATACCGATGGATCCACCATTCTATGTTCGTCTTTGTCATTTTCCATTCACCAAACAAAAATAGCTAGTCTGTTATGTCGCAACGCTATCTTGAACGTCAAACATCAAATCGCCCTATAAAATAATAGTAGGTTTGTTTCTGCAGAAATCACAAACCAGTCAGAGTAACTTTCATTGGTCAAAACTAGTTTGCTGACTGTTTTCAACCAATGAAATTCGCTCTGACTGGTTTGTGATTTCTGCAGAAACAGCTAATATTTTAACCATCCAGGTTGGAAATGTATTGTTGCAGACAATATGTATTGTTCGAACAAATATCATTCATATTAATTTTTTTCAGATTATAATTTATTTTCCTTTTGAACTCGAGACAATAGAAAAGAGGGATATAAATAGAAAGACATGTCACAAATATTTTAGTTTTATTTCTCAAGACAGAAAAATGCGCTTTATAAAAAGCAATAAAAATAAAATAATGGTAAAAAGTGTACAAATAACGATGGCAATTAGGTCTAAAAGATAGTATTGATACCATGCAAGTTGTTTAGCAAAACTTTGCAATTTTGGAGCACCTCTATGTCGCAAAACGTATTCAGTCCAATAAATGGCTGTGTCTTTAGGCGACATTGGGCGGTCTTTAAAAAGTTCAGAAACTTCTTTTGCACTTTTTGAATATCTAAAAATGAAATTGAAAAACACGTTCACAATATGAATATTTCTTATACTTTGGATCATGCAAAAGCTCCTTAATAGATTTCATTAAATCGCTTTTGCTCAAATCTTTTATTATTAATCCATTTCCTGAATCTTGAACCTGTTTCATATTCAAAAACTGATCGGCATTTATGGGAATTCCTAAAATTGGTACTGCACAATATATTGCTTCTTGGGTACTCATCATACCGCCATGAGAAATAAAAAGTTTGACTCTCGAATCACCTACATATTATAAAGAATCAATATTGTTTTAATTTGAATGAAATATTAAAACACTTACACAAGAGGTCCAGCTGTGGCACCCAATTTTCGAAATAAACTTTTTTTGGAACATTTAAATTTTTTGGTAAAGCTTCGTGCTTTGCTCTCCATATAACTTTATAGGGTAATGTAGCAAAAGCATCCAATATGTCTTGTAGTAAATCTATAGAAAAAGACTCGATGGCCAATAGTGAACCCATAGAGAAGTATATTACTCCTGTCGTATCGTTACCCAGCAAATTATCATAATACTACAATGATTTGATATTTATTGGATGATAATGATTTCCAATTTTTTACTTGGTTTAAGGGTTGTGGTTCTTCCATATGTAAGCCCGCTACTTCAATAACATTTGGTACCAATGGTCTGGCAAAATGGATACTGAAATGTGTATTCATCAACAGTAAACTACTGTTGTAAGCCAAATCACTAAGAGAAGGCATTTCTGTTCCAAAAAAGTCTTTAGTTATTTCATCGATTATTTGATTATAACTATTAATACTATAAGAAAAATTAATTATTATATAGGGACTAATGATTGATTAAGTTACTCACAAATATTTAGCTTTAATATATTGCCAAGTATTTACAATCCTATCAAATACTGACATTTTTGTGCTAAATCCTTGAGCAAAATAGGTAGGAATGTACCCGGTACTCTCTGGAAGTCCAAAACGATCAACTCTTGACGGTAAAGGATAACTGCTAGACACCAAAATTGTTGGTACGTCAAAGTACCATCCCCAGCCCAACATGCAATCGGTGACAAAAAGTTCTGCGATCAATAAATCGTACTTTTTTTTAGTATTTTTAAGCTGTTGCAATTTTGGATTTTCAAAGGCTGATTTACACGCTGACAAACTGACTTTTTCTATCATAGCCATTATCGTGGTTTTTGTTGTCAATAATTTCATTTCATTTAGAGTGAATTGGTTTGTTACAATAATGGATATGTTAGCAATATTTATGTCCGTATATCTATAAAACAATTTATTATAAACTTGTTCCAGGAAAATAAGTGTTACCTTTCTAAAGGCTTTTCCAAAGGAAATTGTGACACCATATCGATATTGTGGCCTTTTTCAGCTAGATTTTTGGCAAGGTTTTTCATGATACTCATGTGACTAACACTGCCAATTTCTGAAACTACTAAAATGTTTGCACAATAAATTGTAGCAATCAAATAATTTGACAAAAATAAAAACAAGTTCATTGTTTGAAAGTGCAGATACAATTATTGGAAAAATATAATGTTTAAATACGAAATCCATTTATGCCATTAATATAAAAAAGTTATCGGCAAAAATTATGAACTTTTCAAGGTGCAAAATAATCCAAACTACGTATTTCCTATTCATTTATGAATATGGATTATTTTTTGAGACGCTAATAACTAAAAACCTAAGTTCAGAATAGAAACTCGCGCCTGTCCGCCCTGGTGAGATAGGGCATGTACCTAATACCCACTTCAAACTGTCTCTCTTCCACTATTGCTTTTAACGCATATTATTATTTTACAGAAAAGTAGACGAAGCAACCGGAGGTGCCTATCAAATCTACCTCAAAAAAGCTTTCACCCAATTCGCTTGGGAACTTGTAGAACATACGGTTCTGGCAAAATACAATTCGAAAGCCGCTCAAATTTTTCGATTAATTAAGGAAAAATCCTACATTGAACCCGATCGAATTCAACAGCTTGCCATGATTCTTGACGGAAATGCATTTAGCTGGATTTAGAAGCAATTTGCATAACTCCAGATAGTCCGTTGTGATATTAAGAAAGTCTTGGAATCCAGCCAGCCGAAGTAGATGCAATCAGAATAATATCGAGGATATTAATCTTGGTAGTGTCGATTGTGGCCCTCATTTCTTTGGGGAGTTTACTGTGTAACATACCTATAATCATGTTAAACAGCAAAAGGGATAGCGGGTCCCCTTACTTGACACCTCTTTTAGGTTTGATAGGTTCTGAATTAGAACCAAATTCAGACGTCACAAATGTTCTGAAAAGGAGTTAGAAATTATCACTACGTCATCAATGTAGCACATGACGTTTGGTTCCAGCTCTGGACCAAGGATAGTTTCGATGATTATTTGCCAGGTTGCAGGAGCATTAGATGAGCCAAATTGCATTCGACAGAATTTGAACTCAAAGGAACCTGCCCAAATGCTGACTTACTGGAACTGAAATATCGAGTCTCCCTTAACCGATCCAAAATGGTGGAAATATATGGAACAAGACGAACAAGAAAATCTGTCTAGATGTCTCTTTACTAAACCACTTCGAAACACCGACTGGTTAGAGCCAAATTCAGAATCAACTGTCAACTAATTGAAAAGAGCATACGTCCATCGATATTAGAACTCGTTGATAAGAAGGAAAATATAATACTATCATCTAGAAAAAACTAGAGCCAACAGAATAACTAAGAGAATTAAAACTAGAAGATCTCTCAAAGAAAATAACAAGTACTATTCAAACAGCAAAAAAGGCTGTTTGCTATAGAAGTAAAAATAAATACATTTTTTTTTTTTTTTTTTACGTTTAGTGGCTCTGGTTTAAACCAACTGGCCAGTATCTCTCTTTGTTCATCTATGTATTTTTTTTTTTCTTTCTAACTACCTTAGGTACTAATTAATTTTTCAATGGTAACTACAAACTAAGACTAGTTTAGATAATAATACATACATATATATTTTTTTTTGCCATCGTCTGTTTTTTTGTTTTTTTATTTAATTGACATTTTGTTTTGTTTTTTTTTTTGTTTTTTTTTTTAGATCTTTATTTATTTATTTATTTATTTTTTTTTTATTTTCTTAATATTTTTTTATTTTTTTTTGTTACATCATAAGTGATTATGAATTTCAGTGTTTTGATAGTATTTTTTACTTTATTTTTTTATTTTTTTTTTTTTTTTTTTTTCTTTAGTAGTTTTACAATGTAATATTTCTATGTGTAATGAATTTATGTAATGATTTATATACTTGTATATTTTCTATACATATGAGATAATATATATTAAAAGGTAAGTCTACTGAGTCTAATTTAAGGATATCGTCATAAATATTGGCTATATACATTCTATGTCTAATACAACCCAATATATAATGTTCCAAATCACCCATTTCTCCGCATTCACAGTTTTCGTCCTGTTGCAAACCAATCCTTTTCTTATGTTTTGGATATAGTGCATGTTGATTTCTTAGGCGTGAAATTGGTCTAATAAAGTTTCTGTTTGATTCGATGTGAAACCATGGGATTTTACGAATTTTTGGAAACATAGTTTTAAAAATCTGACCCTTATTTGATTTATCAAAAATCTCTTGCCACTCATCGTACATTTTGTTTTTTTGATATTCTAAAAATATCTGAGTGTGGAAGATAAAAATGATTTGCAAAATTTTCGATCTTTGTGGCGTCTTTGGCCAATTTGTCTGCAATTTCGTTTCCAGTTATTCCAATGTGAGCTTTTACCCACACTAGAGTAACTTTTTTGTTAAGATTTTTCAACTGTTTAGAAATATTTAGAATATTTACTAAAATATAGTTTGTAGGAACTCTGTGAGTACAGTTTACAATAGTTTGTAGACAGCTCATGCTGTCAGTGAATATTACAAAATTATCATTTTCGTTATATTCTACACAGTATTTAAGTGATTCCCATATAGCCCAAAGTTCTGCAGAATATATTGAAGTATTGTTCAATAATCTAAACTGCCTAGATATGTTTTCATTTTTATGAAAAAAGGCACAACCTGTGTTATTATTCAAAAGTGACCCGTCAGTGAATATATGCTCTACATTTTGCCCGATAGTGGCCATATATGGCGAAATAAGTTTTTTAAAATATGTGGGTCATTCTGTTCATAAGAATTAATTATGATGTTTGGAAGATATTTACCAAAATTTTCTTGTAGTTGTCCGTAAAGAGATATGTCTGATGAATAAATATTATCTTTTATTTGGGTTATCCAAGAATAACTTATCACTAATTTAGTATCGTAAGATTATGTATTTTTGTAACTATTTCGCTGTTTTTGGCAATGAGTCTTAACAAAAGTTTGTCACTGAGGTGATTTCTTCTCAATAATGGTGGTTCAGCTGTTTCTGATTCAATCACTGGAATAGGGAGTGCTCTTCAAAAATCCCACACAATGTCTTAAATATTTATTTTTGACAACTTCAATTTTATTAAGATACACGAAATCCCAATTTGACAGCGCTTGTGACGTTGAGATTTTGTAAACATCAAATACGCAGCAAACGAACTCCTGCTGACGCAGTGCTATTTTTGTGTTATTCAAGTGTGTTAAAGTTTGCTTTTTATGAAAATTGCCGCAATGGATGAAGAATATTGTGAAGGACTGCTTTTGTAATTTTTTAACGTGCAAGTTCCCTATCACAGATTTTCCTATTGATGGGTTTGTTCACAGAATCGTGACGTCAAAACAGGTATCCATCATAGAAGCATTGTTTTGGCGGGAAAATTTTTATTTCAAATTTAATATTATTTTTTTGTATAACAAGGGCGGTATCAGTTAAATAAAAACTGGTCATATGAATATTGTGCAGCATAAACTATCGATTTAAAACAAATTTGGAAAATTTTAGTTCACTTGCAAGTTCCCTATTATTAGTAATTTATGATTTAAACGTATACCAATAAAAAAAAATTAATATCCACTTATACTTTAATATACTATCTTTCCTGTTCATAACTACTTTGCTACATTTTTCATTCCACCAAGATTTGCCGCCCTTACTTTTATTATTTTTTACCTGGAGTTTCGGAACGCTTATATCTAAAACATTATTTGAAGTGATTATAAAATCGTTATAAGTATTATTTTCTAGTTTTCCAAACTTTTGAACGCTTTCAGTGTAAAAAAAGTCCCAATTTGCCTTTTTTATATTCCACTTTTTCAGTTGGTTTATAGGGACAAATTTTGGTGAGATGTTACAAATTATTTTTATTGGTAGATGATCCGAACCGTATGTATCTTCTATTGTATTCCATTCTAATAGTTGTTGGAAACATGGGGTTGTTAGGGATAAGTCAATCGCTGAATAAATACATAAAAATTAGTAAAGAAACCAACACCCTCATTGAGCTACGTAGAAAAACAGATACAGAATCTCCAACAAATGAGGGGCTAAATAAAAGAGTCAATAAAGAAATTACGAAAGATTTAAGAAGATACTACACTAGACAAATTGAAAAATTGATCGAAAACAACATGAACATGGAGGTGCTTAGATCTAAAAAAAAAAACAGAGAAAAACTCCTAATCCAGAAATTGAGAAATGGCCAAGGAAATCTTGTATCTGAAAGAAACGAGATCGCTAAAGTAATGCTATTATGACTTATATAATCAAACTATAGAACCACGAGGAGCCGACATAAGAAGACACACACACCCCGTCATAAATGCTAGATCCGAAGAAATACCTCCTCTAGGAGAGGAGGAAGTTAAAATCGGAGGGAAGACATTGGAAAAAGCAATCCTTATTATAGGTCTAACAAAACGCCGAAGTTATTATTATATTCAGGAAGGGAGATGCCACTAACCTGGAGAATTACCTCCCTATTAGTTTGCTGTCTATTCTATATAAGCTGCTGACAAAAATACTTACAAATAGACTAAATGCTTTTCAAAGGAATAGACGTTAAAAATGCGACTTTTTTAGAAATATTAATATAATAAACCGGGTGTTCCATTTGAAAAACAGTTCATCCATGGGGTAACTCTGGTTTTTAGTTCAAATTATTTTTTGGTACCATTTTTGAATTCTCCAGAAAAAATATGCCAATTGGCTATATTGAATGTTTTCAAAACTACAGGATCAGGGAAGGTCAAAAATAAATCCCTGTTCAGTCGTCGTTGGATGACCCAGCCATCTACTCACCAACATATTGTTGAACTGTTCAAATAAGACACTCACCTGAAACGTGTAGTTTTTAAACTAATGAGAATAACTCACATTTGAGTGAGTCAGGTTAGTATCGTAATTTAACAACATATTGATGAATGGAGTTCCGCAACAATCCACTCGTTTGTACTTGAATAACTTGTCACATTATGTTACTAGTTTGGTAAAGTAACATTACTAATTCCTTGGCAAAAAGTGGATAATTTTACAAATTTTGACTTTATATAATAAGTTATTGTTCAAGTACAAATAAGTGGATTATTGCGAAACTTATGGGTGGACCTCTGCGGGACGAGCGCAGCGAGTTCCGCAGCCATTTACTCACCAACATACTGTTGAACTGTTCAAATAAGACACTCATCTGAAACGTGTAGTTTTCAAACTAATGAGAATAACTGACATTGGAGCCATCTATTCATCAATATGTTGTTCAAGTACGATACTAACCTGACTCACTCCAATGTCAGTTATTCTCATTAGTTTAAAAACTACACGTTTCAGGTGAGTGTCTTATTTGAACAGTTCAACA